TTCAGAACACCTACATCTACGACCTCTACAGAGCTGTGACTCCTACTTGACAGCCCTACAGATCGAACCCCTACCACTATACAAACCTACGACAGACAACAAACAACTACCACAACACAGGTCACGGGCTCAAACACTCAGGGGTCGACTTGATACTGTACATGGGTAAGTAAGGTCTGGGAATCGAGCCCTGGGATATGCATCTGCCTCTGCAAAGGTGAAAACCGTTTCACTCCCACCGGCCTAAATTCGACGTCCTCCGAGAATACTTCAGTCTAAGGCAGGACCTTTACCCTTCTTATCTCTTTCGTGAGCTCGGACTCTATCGGGAACTGTCTCTAGAAGTTCTGTTCGCGTGAACCAGCGGTCGCCTTCTGGCTCTTGAAAGGAAAATCTAACTTTGTACTGTTTCTGTGGACGACCTCTACCTCCTGTCCTGAAGACATCTTCATCTACTATACTGTCAATGTCATATCTTCCATCCATGTCTGAAGGGAATCATAGATCTGCGTGATGGAAACTGTTGACTTGTGACGCAAGGCAACAGTTTTGACGCATGGAACACGGGGTAGGTGTGGAGGTGTGCTGGGATCTCAATAGTATAGGACGGTCCATCCTCTCCGCCCTTGACTTCTAGGACTGGCCACGGTCCTCTATATGCAGGTAACAACTTCTGTGAGATGTTCTCCTCAGGAGCAAACTCCTTTGACTTGACCCAGACTAAGTCGCCTACTTGAAACTGTGAGGGGCGACGGTGCTTGTTAGCTTGCTCTATCATCCTGCGCTGGCCTTTCCTGAGGTTGTAAACAGCGGTAGCTATCTCTCGCTCGTGCTGTACCGCAAACTCTCGTGTACCAGGCGGTAGCCTCTGAATTTGATCCCGGTTAAATCCCTCGAATGGTCAGCGCGGTCTAAAATACTTGTGTAGTTCGTTGGGAGTGCGACACGTAGATAAGTGCACGCTATTATTGTGGGCACTGGCTACCTTTGGGAGCATCTCATCCCAGTTAATCTGATCGGGCCTAATGTACATTCTAAGAACTTGCTGCAGGAGCTTGTTCATATGTTCAGTCTGACCGTTAGTCTCTGGATGACGGCCAGATGACATCAGCAACTTTGAACCATAAACTTCCATTAGTTCCTGCCAGTTCTGACTGGTGAACCTGGTATCTCTGTCACTAATTATCGACAGTGGTATTCCATGCTCACTGACACAATGGTCAAAAAACTTCTGAACTACTAAGTCTGTGCATGCCTCTGCAGGCAAAGGAACAAAAACTGGATACTTGCTAAATCTATCTACTATGACCATGACTTGACTTTTGCCATGCCTACTCTTGACCTGAGTGTTTATGAAGTCAATGGACACAGAATCTCCAGGTCTGTCAGGAATAGGCAAGGGTCTGAGAAGACCAAGAGGGGCTCGCGTTGTAGTCTTGTTTCGTTGACAGACTTTACAATTGCGGACATACTCTATGCAGTCGGTTTTCATATCAGGCCAGATGTAAGCGTGCATGAGGTTGGCTAGTGTCTTTTGCCAACCAAAGTGTCCCTCTGTGTCATGTTATTCCCCTAAGATCAAACTACGGATCTCTTCACTGTTGGGAACACACAGGCGGTCAACTACATTAGTCTTCTCGAATAATAAGCCATCAGTAGTGCGGTAGTCCGGATTTGACTCTGGGGCCGCCCTGACTCTCTTGAGGAGATCACTATAGATAGGGTCATGTGCATATGCCTCTCTAACTTTCTGCTGTAGGTCTCTCCCTATATCCAGATAGTGAACTATTGCCCCAAAGTAATCAGCTCTCCTACTCAGAGCGTCCACTACTACATTGTACTTCCCTTTGACTGGCTTAAGTTCAAAGTCATACTGATCTTACTTCGCGGCCCACCTAGTAAGCTTAGGTGTCATCTTGGTCTGTGTCTCCAACCACCGTAAAGTCTCGTGGTCTGAATAGACTTTGAAGTGTCTCCCAAGCAAGTAGTGCTTCCAATGATCTAGTGCTTGCCTGAGAGCGTAGAGTTCCCTCTCATAGGTTGATGTCGCTACCTTCTCTGAAGGCATCCTGGCATACATGAACTCTACGAGCCTATATCCATTGTCATCATCTTGTTGTAAAACAACACCTATGCCATACTGACTTGCGTCAGTAGTAACAACGAAAGGCAGGGACGGATCGGCTACCTTAAGGACTGGATACTCTATCAAAGCCCGCTTCAATCTCTTTAGGGAAGATGTGCAGTCCTTGTCCCACTTCCAGATTGCTTCTTTCTTTAGCAACCTGCGAAGGGGTGCAGCGATGGTGGAGAAATTCCTGACAAACTTCCTATAATAGTTAGCTAGGCCTAAGAACGACCGCAACTCTGTCAGTGTGCGGGGCGTTGGCCAATCTCTAATCCCTGCGATTTTGCTATCTTCAGGCCTAACGTCGTCTCCGTCTAAGACGTGGCCCAGGTACAAAACTTGTGTCTTGGCCCATTCACACTTCTTTGCGTTGATCTTGAAGTTATTTTCTCTAAGCTTCTCCAAGACCTACCTCAGATGACCCTCGTGCTCCTCGAGGGTCTTGCTAAAAACTAAAATATCGTTTAAGTACATTACAACAAATCTATCTAACCATGGCCTAAACAAATCATTCATACAACACTGGAAAGTCGTTGGCGCATTGGTTAGTCCAAAAGGTATAACTATAAACTCGTAATGCCCATATCTAGTCCGGAATGTTGTCTTGTACTGATCATCAGGATAAACCTCTATCTGATGATAACCGGACTTCAAATCTATCTTTGAGAAATACTTGCAGCCCTGCACCCGATCCAACAGATCATTTATACGGGGCAGTGGTTCTGCATTCTTCACTGTGATAGCATTAAGACCCCTATAGTCTATACACATCCTGAGTTCTCCTTCCTTCTTGGGGACAAAAAAAACAGGTGTTCCAAATGAAGAGGAACTGGGCCTAATCCAACCCTTCTCGAGGAGCTTGTCCAACTGCTTGCACAACTCCTCTTAACTCCCTTGGGGACATTCTATAAATGACTCCCTTAGGGGTCCTGCTGCCAGGCTCTATCTCTATGCGATGTTGGATCGACCGCGGCACTACTCCTGTAGGCAGCTTAGCTAAGTCTGTATACTCCTCCAACAGCTTGGCAATAGCAAGGTCTATGGGTCTCTCCTTTTTGGACTCAGTAACTGGCCTCACATAGGCTACAGAAACCTGCTCTTCTAACTGCTCCTTCTTTACTAATCGCGCGAACGCAGGAGCACTGAGAAAGCAATGTGCCAGAGTGTTATCTACTCCCGACACATGAAACAGGTGAGCAGTCTTAACTTCACCTGTGGGGCTAAAGAGCCTACACTCGTGCTCTCTCAAATGGAGTGTGGCCCCTGCGGCCTCTCCCCAGTCCATTCCTAGGACTACATCGAAAGGAAGGTTGTCTTCTACGAGGAGAATCAGGGAATGGAGAACTTTCTCCACCTTCCCATCTTTCTCTAGGCGAAAGTACGCCTGGACTCCCTCAACGTAATCCTCAACTCGCATAGTGCGATTGTCTGCGGGGATACTAACTATAGGGTCTTCTAATTTTCGAACTTTCAGGTTCAACTTTAACTTCTGCAGCGCTTTCCTACTGATATAGCTGCGGGTGGCCCCACTGTCTATAAGGGCCCCTACTCTACCTCTAAAAATCTCTACATCTACTAAAACTAGTTGTCCTTTCGCATCCTTCTTCATCTTGGCCCAGGCAGGCATCCTCTCCTTCAACTCTTCAGCCAAGCCTGTGAGGGAAGTACCTAGATAGACTCTTACACAAGCACAGTTGTCTAGGTACTGACCAGCAACCTCTGTCGTAGGCTCATGTGGTTTGGGAGTTCCTCTGTGGTGCGCGCACTCTTCTCCACATGGCCTAGGGGTAAGGGCGATTGCGACACCTACCGGCGGTTGCCTTTTGCTGCTTGTGCAACATATCGGGCTTCTCTATACTTCGAGCAGAACTTGATGATGTGACCAGCATCACCGCAGTAGATACACTGATCCTGATCAATCCGCCATTGCCATACGGACTGCTCTAAGCCCAAGTCTTCCTAGGGCCTGCGTTGCGGTAAGCCTGGGTGCCATCCACCTCTTCTTGGAGGTGACCGATAAGATCGTGAGCGATTTGGCGGGGGACATTGACCCCTACCTCCCTCTTGGTGCTTTCCCCTGCCGCCAACCCCTGTCCTCGACCACCTGAGGCCTGACCCCCTTGGCCCTGGCCCCCGCCTCGAACAACACCACCTCTCTACTCAACGCATCACATGTCATGGTGGGTTGTCGGCTCTTCTCAAAGAAGTGCACCCACAGAGGCTCTGGCATGGCACGATAGAAGAGACTGACCAATTGGGGCTCAGTGACCCCATGGTCTGGGACGGCTACAAGCTCGTCCATTACGCCTTTGAGTGCTTTTGCACTCCTCCACTGGCGTGAGTGGATCGTTTGCAGTTTGTCAGAGGCCCTGACGCCTCGCGTGACATCTGCAAATCGCTCCTTAAGGAGCCGAAAGAACTCAGGGAGAGGGGTGAACTTGGAAGGCGACCATATTGTTCTCGCACTGTGTGGCGCAGGCGAGTGATCTAGCGAAGCTGGCTGCTTCATCCTTGAGGGCCTGGAAGGCTATGAGGACTTGCTCCTCATGCACAATATGCTGTAAATAGACGTACGTGTTAATGTTCGCTTCCCAATTATCAAAGTTCTCTTCCTTTTTTCCACTGTAGGGTTCAGGAAACTTGATCTTAACGGGCTCCCTATGGGGACGTACTTCCTCCTCCTTTGGAGTGGCCAGCTTTGTGCCCTCAATGGCGCCTGTGCAAAACTTCTCAGTGCCTTCTATCCTCGTCTTCATTTCTGCACCTACGTGCAACATCATTTCACGTGCGAAATCCCGAAATCCTAGGCACATGGAATGTAAGGCGATATCCTGGGCCCTAGCAAACTGTTGTTGCTTGTCCCAGGCCCTAGCTAGGAGTTCTATATTCATTGAAATAACATCTAGCTTTCCCTGTATATCTTCTTGCGCCCAAATCTCCTCTCTCTGCGCCTTTATCACATCCAATTACCTCGCCATCTTGTTTGCCTCCTCCATCCTTCTCTTTTTTTCCCTTGCGAGACGCAATTTCCATCTAACTTCTTCTTCTCCTCTATAGTCTAACGTCTCAGAGGGTCTTTTTCTGCCTCCCACTCCCTGATTACGACTTCCTTCTCCTCTGGGGGGACATATAACATGGCCTCTTCCTCTTCTCCCAGAGATAAATTAGCTACCCACTCAAAGATCTTCTTCTCCATCCATGACTCCTCGTTCTTTGTGCCACTGAATTCTCCTCTCTCTCCTGCGCCTCTTCTAAGTAGCGGCTCCTCCTCCTTTTCTTCCTCCTCTTCTATCTCTTCCTCGTCTACTGCCTTCAGCTTCTCTTCGTCTTCTTTCTTCAATCTCTCCATTTCCTCTTCCAACTTCTTCCTCTTCGCCGCCTGTTCCTCAAGTAAGGCCAATTTATTGGCCTGCTTAATCAACTCTTTCTTGGCCTCCTTCTCTCGTCTCTCTTTGAGTACTGTGGCGGCTTGCTCTTCCTGAGCCTTGGTGTAAGGGGTGGTGCTCTTGCCACTACGTGTGTCAACCATGGTGAAAGGTGTACAACCAAGAATCAGTTCCACTCCTCACCACTTAGACTCTCACCCCTGACTGACTCAACTTAAGACTGACTCAATCTAAGGATCAAAATCTCCAGCAAGATCCTGTCAACTAGGGTCTCTATCCTAGACCTAAACTAAGGTTGTCACTGCAGGAATTTTTGCTGATCAAGAGGCATTTAACGAGATCCCCCGTAACTCCTCAGGAATTCTTTAACGTCGCAAACGGGACGACGTGATCAGCAAGTCCTCTCAAGACTTAAGATAGCTTGTTGTGCAACTCGGATTTTGGGCCTACCGTGCCATACCGAGCAGCCCGCCAGTCGGTACCAGTCCTTGGGAGCGTTCGTGTCCTCCGCGTCAATCGAGTTGTCAGACACGGCCTTTAGCCCTACTCAGCCCGTGTGGGTTTGGTCAACAAAGCTCTATGACCGCATACACAGAGTTCCTATCACCTGGACAAAAGAGACTCAATGCAGAAAGAAGAGACGAACAGACTCAGCAAGTACCATGGGGTGAGTGCACATCCATAGCGCGAGGGGATAGGTTGTAGGCTTGGCGAGAATATACCAACTCCAGCTTGGTCAATTTCGTGGTCAGCAGCTCCAATCAACGCTGGTCAATGCTTGGTCAACTCGTCGGTCAACACCTTGGTCAATGCCAGTCAACCCGCCGATCAACTCTCCGGTCAAAGTCTTGGTCAACGTTGGTCAACCCTTCGGTCAATGCCTTGGTCAACCCTCAATTCGGCTATGGCGGCCGACACCTTTTCTTCCTCGCCAACCTCCTTATCCTCCTTCGCTTCACCTTTCTCTCTCCTTCGTGATAACCCTGTGTCCGAGCTCCTCGACTATGGCCACTTTCTTCTTTGGACCATACAACAATCTTGTATCGTTTTTTTCTCTCTCTCTCTCTCTCTCTCTCTCTCTCTCTCTCTCTCTCTCTCTCTCTCTCTCTCTCTCTCTCTCTCTCTCTCTTTTCGTCGTTGTCTGCTGTGCAGGTACTCGGCACCTCACTCCGCAGCGCAGCTATGGCGGATCTTCTCCGATGGTGCAACTTGGCTATGGTGCCTAACTGGAGCGCGCATCTCCTTCCCGCTAGCAACGACGATGGCGCGTGGGGTAACGGGAACCGGCTCCGATACCAATGCAATCAGACTCGCTTTCTTTTCCAATCTTCATACATGCAAACAGGTGGTGATTCACACTGGCGCACAGCGCCCACTCAAAGCTCACAGATATGGCAATCGAGAACACAGTTCAGACGTGAACTCGCTTCAACAAGCTATGGTGCAGCAGCGCCTGCACAACCCGACTCTCGTCACTGCGTTCAACACCACTGTTCGCCCGCACTCAACTCTGGAACTCCCTGCATACACCCACACACACTCACTTGATATCCCACACACACACACACACACACACAGCTACCTCTACCCTCGG